GGATGCAAAAGCAGAAACATAAGAAAAAGATGGAAAGTAACCAAACATAATTTGTGAACTAGAAAACCAGAAGAAAAAAAGAAAGAAACAGTTGTGGTCTATCCTGTAATCCCAGCTACTGGGCAGGCTGAAGCAGGAGGATTACAAATTTAAGGGCAGACACCACAATTTACCAACTTAGAAAGACTTGTCTCCAAAAAAATAAAAGGCTGGGGATGTAGCTCCGTGGTAGAGCACTCACCTAGCATGTGTAAAGCCCTGGGTTCCATCCCTAGTACAGAAGGAGAGAGAGAGAGAGAGATAAACAGACAGAGAAACAGAGACAGACAGAAACAGAGAGACTGGGGTCAGACAGACAGACAGACACTGGAAGCACGGCTTGCAGAATGTCGAGTGGAGACTGGACTAAACTCCCACCAAGCACAGACCCAGGACGACTTGCCTGCCCCCGTGATTTACCCTGGGGTCCTGCTGCTCCAAACAGTCTTGAGGGCAGGGAAACGCTTGCACTGGAAAAACGACACAGAGGGAAGTCGTGGGCGAAAGCCAGTGTCCCTGGGACTTACGCGTCTCAGCATTTGGAGGCAGCACAGGTGACCCCCGGCCGGACTGCATCTCGTTGGAGACAGGCACTGGTGTGGATGTGGCGCAGTGGCCAGGAGCACCTGGAAACCCAGACCCCAGAGGCGCCCCCCGGGGACTCAGAGCCACTCCATGGTGCCAGGGGGTCTTCTCCCCCGCTGTGACCCTGTGAAGCCCCGCGGTCCTTAGACTGCCCCTGTGGTTGCTGAGGGAATGCGCAAGGCCTATCTAATCGTAAAAAGGAGCCCTCGTGAAGCAGGCCTTGGGAGCAGGGCTATGGCCATGCACGTCAGGTCCGGCACGGCGCTCAGATACGGGAAGTGGAAAACCAGATGTGTGGTCTCGGACCTCCAGGACAGGAGAGCTCCTGAAGGAGTCCTGGCGGCGGTGCCAGCGTGACTTAGCGGGTCGGGATCCGATCAAGGCCACAGCCCTGGTCCTGGACTCCAGCGCGCCCGGCACCGCGTCACCAGCACAACGGATCTGGGCACTGCAGCTCAAGCTGAGGCTTTCAGAGTGAAAGCGGGGCGTGGAGGAAGGGACTTCCCTCTGCTCGCCCCTCAGCACGAAGGGTGCCTGCCCCTTCCCCTTGGCGAGCTCCCAGAACCTCACCGCTCGAACTGGCCTCCAGGGGCCCCAAGGGCATGAATTACAGTGTGCAAGGGTATTTACTCCCCACACCGACTAGGAGTCTTTGTCCTTACTCTAGCGAGAAGTTCCCCTTGTGGTGAGCTGGCTCAGGCTTCTCCCACCCCTGCCGTCCTGGCTGAGGGTTCCCAGTGCTCCTGTGCCCGCCTGCGGCCAGGCCGCTCAGCGTACTGGTGCCCGGCGGCAGCTGCCCTGCACTCTGCCTGCAGGCGGTGCCGATGCCTGTGATGGCTGCTGGTGGACGGGCTGCTCCATGGACTGGTCCTACCTCAGGGGCCCCGGCCCAAACCGCCAGGAGCAGTGTGATTACCCCCACTACAGGCCTTTTTCTTTCTTCCCTTCCCCGTCCCTTCTCCTCCTCCTCCTGGTGCTGGGGTGGAACCCAGGAAACTGGAGTGCTGAGCACATGCTCTACCCTTGCGTTACACCCCTACACTCCCAAGTTTGCGTTCTAAAACAGGAAGGGCACAAGAGAGTAAGAAATTGGTGTGGGGCCCAGTACAGACAAAGCTGGGGAGAGGGCAGTGTGTATAAGCCACAGGGAGCAGGAGGACTGCCCAGGTAGAAAAGAGAAAGTCAGCAGTGTAGAAGCAGCAAAGACGGCAGGTGGGTGTGGTGGTGCACACCGGTAATCCCAGCACTGAAGAGGCTGAGGCAGGAGGAACTCCATGAGTTCAAGGCCAGCCTGAACTATACAAAAAAGAAAGGAAGGAAGAAAAAGAAAGAATGGCAGGCCAGGGATATAGCTGTACGGCACAGCGCCTGCTGGGCAAGCGTGAGGTCATGAGTTCGATCCCCAGAAAAAAAAGAAAGGCAAAACAGAGAAGGTGCGGGCCTTCCCATGGTGGAAGGGCTGCCAACTGGGGAGACAGGGCGGCCGGTAAGGGAGCCCGTGCTGACGAGGTCACAGAGACAGAAGAGACTCCAGTCCTTCTCGCAGGTCTGGGTTGAGCCTGTTTTGCTGTTTTCTTTTCCCATGAGCCCTCTAGTGTCTTCCTGTTCTTTGAAATAACTGCTTTAAACCTTCAAATGGTAAAATTGTATAAATGTGCCACTTAATCAGGGTGCTTTGTGCACACAGTTACATCCAGCGATGGCGAGCCTCTCAGCTTTCAGTGACAATACCCACAGTGCGGCAGGCTAACCAGAGCGCCGCCTCCCTAAGCGAGCAGCACCTCCTAGTACTGCGCTGGCTCCACACGCCCCGCAAGGCCTGTCCTGTACAGGGACTGCCATGTCCCATGGAGGAGACGGCCTTGACCAGGGCCAGAAAGCAGGGATGGGCCAATCCGTGGGAAGCACGGGGCAACACTTTCACAGCCGCACCACCAGCGTGAACGCCGCCCGGGAGCTCACTGAAGGCCACAAGGTTTGCAGCCCGGCTTGGCATCAGACTCGTCATTCTCGGGATCCACGCAGCGGGCTCTGCTTCCACTCTGCGACAACAAGCTCAGACTTAGACCATTTGTCAGAAGGCCAAAACGTCGCTTTTTGTTGTGAGATGCCAGCACTTCCATATGGATGTCAAAACCCTAGTGAGCTGGGACCTTGATTATGAGAAGCGTTAACTTCCTGTATTAACAAATATTAATTGATTATCAGCCCAACCAAAGATACTCTTTAGTCCCTTATTATCAGAGAGACCAGCAGTTGGCAAACCTGCCTGTTCATTGGAATTTCTAGGAGCTTTTAAAAATATACTCTGCTTTGTTACATAAAAACCTGCACATGAATGCTCATCACTCACCACAGCCAAAAAGGTGACAATCCAAATGTGTGCCAGCATGGTCACACACAAAGTGGAAGTTTTCATAAAGGGAATGAATACTGATACTGCAACAGCAAACAAAACACCGAAACCACAGCCAGGATTTGGAGGCAGATGTACTTAACGCTGGATGGACACTGACTAGCAGTCAATGGTTCCTCAAAGTGTCCTGATCTCTGGTGGTCCAGGGCTTATATGGGATAAGCAAGCAGGAAGTGCAGAGGCAGAGTGGCCTGTCAGTTGGGGACTGGTACAGTATGCATCACACTGATCAGCTGTTTCCAGGAGACAGGAGTAACAGGAACTGTTTCCTGGGCAGCTAAGAAACTGAAGCATACTGGCGGGGATGAGGACATCTTCTGCTACAGTACGTGCCACAGCATGGATGAACCTTGAAAGTGCCACGCGTGAATGCGGCCGGACTCAAAGCCCCTGCACGGTGTAAACACGTTTGTGGGTCCGGGAAGGAGAAGCTGCAGCCAGACACAGAGCAGAGGCTCTGGGCTGGGGGCTGCAGAGGCTGGGGAGAAGATCTAGAGTTGACCTCAGTGAGTCTGAGCACCAAGGAGACCCCTGAGCTGCACCCTGTCGGGAGCTGCGGAGTCAGACAGGGGCGTCCACAAAGCCCTGTGGAAGTGCTGCGCCCAGAGCTCCGCCTCTCTCCTTAGGTGCTGCCTAGGAATCAAAAGATTTCAATATTCAGAGCTGAGAGCCATCAGAGGACATGGATCAACCCACATTCCGAGGTTTTTACACTTTTTAAATTAAAAAGCCTACACAGTTCCCTTTTAAGATGATAAAGCAGGGGCTGGGATATAGCTCAGTGGTGCAGCACCTGCCTGGCAAGTGCAAGGCCAAGATCGAGTCCCGGTACCCACACACACAAAAAGATAAAGCACAGTCCTGTGGGGCTCTTGATATTCTCATATCACTTAGCTCCTATACAATAAGGATATCTTAGAGACGGGAGCGCACAGACACAGCGAGGAGGTGGAACAACAGGACAAAGGCAAAGGCGAAGCGGCTTCACGTGCGGCTGGGCTTTCCTCGTGCGCCAGGGCCTGCCCCACATGGGTGCTCAGCGCTGAGCTCCCAGCCTGGGTCGGTGTGGAGGGCGGAGTCACTGAGTGACAGGCGCGTTCAGGAGCTCCGGGAGCGGCCATCACCACTGGGCTCGTGGTCACTGTCCTCGCGCTGCGCTGGCCCTGTCTCTGCAGGCTCTGGCTGGGGTACCTGGACAGGAAACCCCCAGGACTGCGGGAATGGGGACCTGGCGACAGCCCAGCGCCTGGCCTGTGTCGCACCCAACCTTGGAACCGCCGCCTCCACCGGGACTCCATGACTCCGCGGCCTGGCACTGCCCCGCAGGGACATGGCTCTCGGATCCCCACTACTGCAGGCCGGTGGTGGTCGGGGCTGGCGAGGCAGAGGAGGCCGTGTCCCCTGGGCCTGTGGTGACTGCCTGTCTGCGCCGGCTCTGCCTGCGTGGGGCACTCCTGGTCCGCCTCTCCCTGCGAGAGGCTGGGAAGCAAGGTTAGAGTGCAGAAGACACCGCGCCCGTGTGGGGACACCGTGCAGACTCCCACTGTGGGGTCTCCACGGGGCACTGCCGGACCCATCGGGAGGGAGCCGGAGGCTGCGCATCACGAGTGGGGTGGGGTGGAGGGTGTGTGTGTGTGTGTGTGTGTGTGTGCGCGCGCGCGAGTGGGGTGGGGTGGAGGGTGTGTGTGTGTGTCTTTACACCAGGTAAGAGACACAGAAACAGTGGCTGCCGAGAGGTCGGCAGCCTGGCACTCCGGGAATCTCAGGGGCACGGCTGAGCTCGCATCCCCGCAGCCAGGAGGTGGGGGCAGAGGAGGAGCAGAGTGCACAGGTGCCAGGCTGTCGGCGGGCGCAGGAAGGGCCTGGCCAGCTCTGTGTGCCCCTGAGGGTGGTGGCGACATCGGTTCAAACAACTGCCTGGTCCTTGGAAACACCCGAGTGCGGCAGGGCATGCCGTAGAGCGAGTGTGCGTTAAATATTTATTACTTCAAAGAGTGCCAAAATCATTCCATCCAACAGTATTCGAACCGCTTCACACTAGAGCCATGTTTGACTCTTCACATTTCATAGGACCTCATTCCTCCCGGGCACTGGTTTCTAAAAGCTTCATGATTCTATTTTTATAAAAATTCTTATGCACATGATGAATAAGTTAGTGGCTTTTGACATTCTCTCAGCGCACATGGAACAGAAGTTCAACCACGTCCCTGTCAAGGGTGCATGTACTGCAGCCACCACTTTGGGCTCTACTAAAACGGTTTCCACTTGTGAGACCCACTGGCCAGGGGAGTCCCCGTCACCGTGGCAGCCTGGATACGGGAGAAGGCGGAGGGGAAGGAACCGAGCATCATTTCCTCCACAAAAGGAAGAAAGCTGCTTCCCAAGGGAGCCACCAGCCCCGAGCAGCGCTCACTCGGGCGCAGTGCTTCTCCGGAAGTGCAGTTTGCACGTCAGTCGGGAGAAGGCGTCTGTGTTTCTTCTGCTCCCAGCTCGGCCATCCACTCCTGCAGGTCGTCTGCGCTACATGTCGTCCATAACTTCACAAAAGACTTCAGCCTTTTCCTGGAGAAAAAATAAAATATTGCTTCTTTTAGAAATGACACAGCTGGGGATGACGGGTCCCAAGGGGAGCTACACAAGCGAGTGTCGCCAGAGTGCTGGGCTCCACGGCCGGGCTTCGGGGCCTCTGGCCTTCCCGAGCCGCTGCAGCGCTGGGAAGGAGGTTGTGGGCCACACCACGGCCCTCTGCAGAGGGGAGTGCGCCGGCAGTGCCGAGGCTCCTCTCCGCATGGAACAAGGAAGCGCCCCGCGAGTCCCCTCAGAGCTGACGGCTGACCCAGCACAGTGCAGCCGGCTGGGGAGAGGCGGGACACTGCGGACTGCAGAGCAGCGGCAGACAGGTTAGGGTCCCCAGCTGGGGGGTGGAGCTCCAGCTGCTGCCCAGCTCCCACTCGCTGAGGGCGCCGGCCAGCTTCCTGCCCTACCATCCCCAAAGACACAGGGACAGCGGCACCTAACGTGCAGGTGCCCTGGGGTCGGGTGACTCAACATGCTCAAAGCAGGAAGAACGGAGCCCAGTGCCCCGTCCAGGCTGCTGCCAGGATGCTGTAGTGGCGAGGTGGCATGTGCTGTCATCCCAGCACTTGGGAGGCTGAGGCAGGAGAATTACCATGAGTTCAAGGCCTGCCTGGGCTACACTATGAGACCCTGTTTTCAAAAAAACAGTTATTAAAAAGTCCACAAAATGGCAGATTGTTTTGATTTTCTTAATCTGGCCAAGGGAATTGATGTGATACGCACTTTAGTGGAAAGATAAGAGCCCTGACTGATGAATTATCAGACCCTGTTCCAACATAACCTCTTCCAATAGTCCTCTTGTCTCGTCTAGGTAACTGCCTAGATTTTGAAAGGTCACACAGTCGCTGGGAGAGGGAAAAACAGAAGAACGCCGTGAGTTTTCTTGCTTTTGCTTTGCAGGCGACAGAGAAGCAGTGAGCACAAACTGTCTCCTTCTTATCACCAGCCCGCGTATGCAGCCTTTGTAATGCAGCTCTGTCTGCTTGCTTCTCCCAGAAAAGGAACAGAACAACATCACAATCTGTCTCTGCACTTGGCAGAGGACGAGCCACAGGTCCGTTCTGCGCTCACACGGATGATTCTCTCTCTGGACCGTCCCTCGGGGTGGCAGGGTCGGAAACAGGGCCTGCACCCAGGAAGGGTGCTAGCACCCCGCCGCGCCCCCGCCCTCTCAGGAGACTCTGTGCTCCTCTGCCCTCCAACTGACACACACTCTGCTTGTTGCCTCTGGCGCCTCCGAGACAGCCTCGAGTAGCGTCAGGCGGGACGCCGGCCTTCAGACAGGGACAGTGCAACGGAGCTCCTTTCCTCCTCCCAACCCTTCCGACAAGGGCACCTGTGAGCAGGTCCCCTGGAGCGCAGCGCAGGGTCTTCCATCCTGTTGGTCCACAACACGCAGCCAGGGCGGGGACACCTGCAGCCAGCAGCGACCGCATGCAGGGCAGGCAGGAAGGGGCAGGAGGACAGGTGCTCCCACTACTCCGCGACTTTCTATCTGGACCAAAGACTGGCCGTGCTGCGCAGACATGATCTCCCAGGGAGCGCCCGGGCCACGGGGACCTCAGGTGCGTACCGGGAGTCCGAATCCTGGCTGGGCCGAGGTGGACGCATTGCAGAAACGCTGTCAGCAGCACAAGCCAGGTTAGAATGAAAAGTCCGTCACCAGTAACCCACAAGAGACAGGCCACGTGGACGATGCAACCCATGGTTAGGTGACACCCGTGCTTCATTCTTATCTTGCCAGAGCTCCCTGAAGGGGCCGCAGCCTGTGGGCAGGTGAGGCAGGAGCACAGGACACCCGCACCCAGGAGCCTGGTACTGAGGCTTCGTGGGGCTCTTCCCCACCCAGGGTCTGCAGCAGCTAATGTGCCGGCACTGAACTTGTGTCATTCTGTACAGATATCCCCGAAAACCAATCCTGCAACTTCACGAAGAGCAGAGTGACCAACGGAGATGGGCTGGAACGACAGACACAGACCGGATCCACTCAGCTTTTCCGAGAGGTATTTCCACTTGATTGTGATAAAATCTTTCCAAATACTCGAGGAAGGCGGCTGTAATCCCCGCATTCGGGAGGCTACAGCAAGGAGCGCAGGCCAGCCTGGACTACGCAGCGAGACTTTTCTCAGGAGTAAAACAAAAAATCCACACATAAATAAATCTGACATATCCTCTTCCTTGGGCAACCTGGAGGCAAGTTTCATTGTCAATACACACACACACACACACACACACACACACGCACGCACGCCCGCAGCACAGACATCCTGACCTTTTCATGTTTACTAATCCTTCCAGCTCTTTGGACTTGACAGCGGCTTTCTTCAGGATTTCTCCGGGAACATCTGCCAGCTTAGCCACATTTAGGCCATAGCTCCTCGCTGCAATTCCTCTGGTTATTTGATAGAGAAACGTGACAAAATCAGGGACTCTCTCTTTGCCTGTGAAAGACAGAAAGAAAAAGATCAAAGCCATATCCAGAAGTTGAAATTCAAGGACTAAAGACGCCATGTAAGTGCTCAGAATTTTACTTTATTAAAATTTACACTCTAAGAAAGAAGCCTATTGTTCCTGCCACCTGCCAGCTCCTTTATCAAGTTTGCATATCAAGATAAAGGGCAAATACTGATTTGAAAATGTGTTTGCATACAGGGTCTCTAGCTCACTGAAGGCAGTCCTCAACAAGGATGCATTGCACAATTTGAACTGAACTTCTGTACCACAAGCAGAATGCTTCTGATACATGGTGCGATGTAATTCATTTTCCTTGTTAAAACAGACAAGGACATGTTACATGCTGCCCACAGTGTAACTTAAAAATCAGAGCCGTTCTGGCGGGTGAAACAGTCTGGCTAACTGAGAGCTCTTCACGGTGAAGGGGCCGCTGCTCAGCTCCCCCACCCTGGCTGTCAGAAGGCGGGACACTGTTGAGGTTTGTAACTAGAGTGTTCCCCCTCATCTGTGCAGAGGTGAAGCTTTGAAAGGCGCCCGGTGCATCAGATTATCACGGACTAGTCACAGCTGCGTCGAGGCGGGCTGGTGGGAAGAAGGGGTCACTGGGCTGCCCAGGAGAGCCCGTCTCCGCCCGCTCCCCCGTCCCTCTGCTCCTGGCCGCCATGAAGTGGTGGCTTTTCTCCCCCACGCCTTCTGCCGTGATGTTCTCGCCTTGCAGCCAGCCCACCATGGATGAGGCCTCTGATCCGCGAGCCTAATCACACATTTCCTCCTTTGAGTTCCATGTTAGGTCAGGCACAACAGGCCGTATGGCCTCTCTGAGCCTTGCTGCAGTGGAGGACAGGCCCCTTTCCCGAGGGACACGCAGTGACTGTGGCCATGGGGTGGACAGACAGCTTCTGAAACGGCCACCACTGGTCCCTAGCTCGCAGTCCCCCTGCCCCCAGATCACTCCTGCCCTCTGAGCATGAGATGGGCCTGGGGCCTCCCGTCTCATGAAGAGAACGGGACATGGTGATTGGCGGGCACTTCGGAGAGACCGTGGCTCTGTCTGGTCCTCTTCCTTCCCTGCTTGCTCTGAGGAAAGTCGGCCACAGGCCACGAGCCACTCTCAGAAGAGGCCCCAAGGGCACCGAAGTCCCTGGCCAAAGGTCAGTGAGGGCTGTGGACTGCGAGAGGCATCGCGTGGGTGGGCTGGGCATGGATCCTGTCTCCTGAAGTGCCCCGGCAGGCTGGCAGTGCCACCGCCCTGACCTCTTCCCAGCGGTGGCCTGGGGAGACACCAGAAGGCTCAGCTGAGGTGCCCCCGACTGCGGACCACAGAAATCATGCGACAGGTGTTGTGTTTCAGCTGCTATACTTTGGGGGTGATTCACTGCACAGGACAAGCACTACAAACAATGAAGATGACTCATGGACATAAAGGCCTCACCGCACGCCCCAGGGCGAGGGAACTTGGCGGGCCGAGGCGGAGCACTGTGGGTGACACAGGCCACGGGCGCCCTCACCCGCATCCGGGAAGAGCTCTCAAGAGTCCTGGAGCGGGGAGGCGGCTCAGGGGCGAGGTAAGCATCTGCTTGGTGCCCCAGGGGAAATACAATGAAACAGCCACCAGCAGAGAAAGCCCCAGAGGGAGCGCCAGCCCCTGCCTTTGTTGGTGTGCGGCCTGGAAGAGCCAAAGCCGCTGTGCCAGGCGGCAGGAGGCAAGGGGAGCGCTGGTAACCTGGGCACCATGTTCTGGATGAGATCCACCTTCTGAGTTCAACACCAGCCCAGGACCAGGACCTCCAGGTCTAAACACACGAGAGCAGGTGCTGGTAATTCAGCTTCTACACAGCAAGTCCCAGCCTGTGCTGGGGGTCCTGCGCCCTCGTCCCCTGTCACTGACGTGACGTGTCATCCCGGGGCTCTGCATGCCAACAGCTCCTCCCAAGCCACTAAAGTCGGAGGTTCCACTGCCCGATGAGGGCCCCGTCAGACTCAGACAAAACCCTCAGTCCCGCCCCACATCCTGGCTTAAACCCCAGCACTGCGCCCTCGGCCTGGGAGGTCGTCTCCTAGGCCAGCCAGCCCTGATCTTGTCCTTTTCCTTTCAAGTAAGTCACCGATCCTGCTGCTCCCCTTGGGTGTCCCGCTCAGTTCTGTGTTCAGGGCACCAGCACCGAGGCGAGGCTCCAGCTGGAGTCAGGGTCAGCAGGCTGTGGTGCAGCCCGAGGACTGCAGAGCGGAGCCCGGGCCGCTGTCCCTGAGGCTGCCGTCTGCGGCAACCACAGTGTCACCACTGCGACTCCGGGTCTCTGGCTGCAGTCACACTCACAAACAGCAGGGACCGAGACCCAAGGACGGCGCCGAGGCTCTGCAGCTGGCCCAGGCAGCGGGCACCAGGGACCAAGGCTGGGCTGTGGGGCAGGTCTGGGAGGGTTCGCAGCGCTCAGGTGGGCGAGAGGTCCAGCTACACGCCCGCAGACGGACGCAGCACAGCGTGAAAACCAGGCCTCATTCCAGCCCAGACAGCGGGAGCGACAGAAAAGTGCGCGTGTCCACGCCAGGCTCAGCAGCGGACAGCACCCCTGCCGCGGGGGCAGGAAGGGGCTGAGGGGGAAGGGCGCAGACAGCTCACAGCTTGGTCCCCACGGTCCCCACGAACGATGGGAAGCTGAGGTCTGGAGGGAAGAGGGGCGGCCGGCCCTCTGAGGCCTGCTCTGCACCCCACTGCCCCCGCTTACCCGCGGGTGGACCCCACACGGCCGCCCCTGCAAGAAGCTGCCTGTCTCCCGCGGCTGCCTGGCGAGCAAGGCAGGGCCGGGGCTCTGCCACATGGGGCCAGCCGCCTGATGAGCCCAGCAGAAGGCACTTGGGACAGCACCGCGCCGCGGAGCCCCGCTCCCGAGTGAAGCCGCCCTCCCCAGCCGGCTGGCTCCGTGCCGGGCAGGGTGCTCGGCTCCCCATGCAGAAGGCTGCGCTCTGGGCCCAGCGGTTCCCAGCGGGTGCTGTCGCCGAGGCCAGCACCTCTGATTTGACGCCAAACCAACATCTCGCCAACTGGCGGCTTCCCTGGGGTGACCATGGAAGAAGGTGGGAGCCTGCCCCCAACACTTCTCACAAAGACGGGAGAGCGGGGCAGGAGGGCTCCGCCCTGACAGAGGGGAAGGCGCCCAGGGGAGCACAAGGACAGGAGCCCCTCCTGACCCGGACCCCAACGCCTATACAGCGCACCCGCTGCGCCCACAGCTGGGCGCCGCCTGTGCAGACAGAGCCGGGACAGCCTACCTGGCTCCGCCTCGTCCTCCTCCTCGGTCACCAGGAAGCCCATGTGGTAATTCCCCACCTGCCCCGGGTAGCTCCTTTCCAGCTCGCACACTGGGGGGTAGTGGGTGACGAACAGGGTCAAGGATTTCACCTAAAGCAAGAGACAAAGTAAGCGGTATTTTATTTTTAAATGTTAAATTAAAACGTCAGTTTTCCGGGGGGGAAATATTTAAGACCTTCATCAAAGCTGCAAGAAAGAAGCATTTGTGCTTTTTAGATCATCTGTAACTAAGAGAAAGAGCACCAAGGAAACTACAGCCAGTACCACATACTCTACCTAGACAAGTGCAGTTGTTAGCATCCTGTCACACTGTTACACACACACGCACACACATTTTCCCTGAACTGGCTGAGAATCAGTTGCAGACCTTCTCCCTACATACTGGAGAGTCTCCTCTAAGAACAAAGCAGGTGCCTACACAAGCAGAGTGAGATCACTACACCCAGAGATGTTACTGCCCTAGTCTAGGCAGGCCAGGCTCCCTGGCTGCCCCACCAACGCTGTCTCGCTTTCCCTTCCTGTCCTTTGTGACAGCAGCAGTATCAGTGACCACAGCAAGGCTGCAGGATTCAAGATCAATACACGGAAGTCACTGCTTTTCTGTATACCAGCAATACAGAAGTACAATTTCACATAAAAAACACTACCAATTGCCGTAGCACATCCAAAATGAAATGCTTAGCTATAAATCTACCAAATATGTACAAGACTTATGTGACAAAGCTGTATAATTCTGACCCTGTCTTCACAAATAAGGGCTAAGAACAAGAATGGCAAGGTCCCATGTTCCCACCTTGATCTAGACTTTCAATGCAACACCATATGTAAGTCCTGCAAGAGATTTTTGTGGGTATCTGAAAATTAATCTAAAGTCTATACAGAGGGCAAAAGAACTGGAGGAGCCAACCCAGTACTGAAGGTCGGAGGACTGTCACTACCCAAATTCAACACTCACTATGGTGCTACAGTGATCCTGACAGTGTAGTACTGCGGGGTTGCGGTGTACTCTGAGAGGCTGAGGCAGGGCGATCCCAAGTTCAGGCCCAGTCAACCTGGTGATTTAGTAAGACTCTGTTTCAAAATAAAAAATAAAATGAAACAGAGGATGTAGCTCAGTGTGAAAGCCCTGACTTCAGTTCCCACTACCACCAGGTAAAACAAAATAAAACAGTATAATATTGGTAGAAAAACAAAAAACAAAAACAAACCTAAGCTCATGGGCTAATGAATCATAATAAAGGGCCCAAGAAATTGACCCACATGAATGGAGTCAACTGATCTTAGATGACAATGTTGTACTTTTTAAAGCCTAGGTCCCTCCTTATGGGATCTCCTCATGATTTGCCCCAAGGTAAGTTTCATGTGAAAGTAATAACTTCTTCTGAAACATTTAAAACATCCAAAACCTGCTTCAGAGGAGAGGCAATGAAAACGGAAGCAACACATTCAAGGTTGCCGCTGTGCCAGAAGGTTCTCAAATGAGTTTTTGGGACATCACAGACCGCCTGGGGGGCAGCTTGTGGGCCACTGCAAGGACAATGCCCTGCCAAGGAGTGGACGGCAGCATGGCAGGCCCCTGGGGCTCGGCCTTCTCCTGGGGATGCAGAGGTGGGAAGGGAGGGCCCTGTGAAGCCTCTGGTGGGCCACGAGGGACTCAGCCAAGACCACCCGGCAGAGCCACACCGAGCCCCTGACCAGCACTGAGACCAGCAGCAGGGACGCCTGTCGTGTCCGGCCAGCTGCTCTGGGGCACTCGTTAAACTGTCATAGTGACTGACACACTGGAGTGTGTGTGTGTGTGAGCGCGCGTGCGTGCGCGTGCGCGGGACATGCACCAGGGACGAGGCCAGGAAAGCCACCCTGTGACACAGCAAGGCAGGCTGGCAAGGACACTCCCAGGTAAGCGGGTGATGCGTGTGTCCCCACAGGTGGCGCGCGACATTTTGGTCAGGCGTGGGCCACAGATGAGGACGGGGTCTGAGAAGCGTGTGAGCTGACAAGGCCACGCTGCACTGGGCCTCAGGGACCACTGTCACGTACACGTGGTGGTCACTGCGGGGTGGCAGGGCCCACCCCTGCAAAGCCACTCAGACTCACCCCAGCACGGCCCTGGGCTCCCTCAAAGCCCGAAGGAGCAGAGTGCCGAGGGCCAGAGGGAAGGTAAAATAAGAAACAAAGCAACACAACACCAAAGGTCTTAACAGGCTAAGGCAAAAGGAATTTCGTGGGGTTCTTGGGAAAGAAATAGGAGCAAGAAAAATATGCTTTTATTGGCTGTTTAAGGAACAGAGGAAAACTGAAAGTAAGGGGAGGACACAGATAAAAGAAAGGAGCAAGAAAGCACAGGGGAACAAAAAGAATGGCGAGGGCTGGACGGGGCGCAGAGTGGGTGGCATGGGAGGGCGCGGCTGAGACAAACAGCGGCGTGAACAGAAGGGAGAGTGTGCGGGACAGGAAAGAGACACACGGACACCGACAGCGTCCCCTGAGCAGCTGGCTGGGAAACGCAATCCGAGCGAGGGACGCATCGAAGGACAGGAGAGGCAGACTGAGAAACGCAGCGTGGGGCGCAGACTGCTGCACCTCCTGCTGCCCGTGGCCTGCGTGACGCTGGACTCTGCTCCTGAGGAGACCGCGCCCTGCGGTGCCCTGTGCTTCACAACAGACCTGCTCTGGCCACTCGGGGAGCCAGGGGAACGCGACCCGTGAGTATCTGCACTGAGAACAAATAAAGCCGACCCAGCAGCTGGAGGCCGAGGTCAGGAAAACATCTGACATGGGATGTGCGACCCAGGTAAAAGGGCATGCAGGTGCCGCAAGAGGTATTCTCACTGCGATCAGTGACAAGGTATTGTACATTTTCAAATAACTGCCGCTGCATTTCCAAGGTCTCACCTCAAAACACGCCAGGTAGAGAATGTGAGTCGGCTTGATTTCATCACTCCCCTGCTTACATCTATCAGAACACGATGTTGTACCCCATAAATGTACACAACTGTGGTCTGTCAACTAGAGACCATACTAGAAAGAAGTCAGTATTTAAAAAAAGGTCTTGCCGGGCATGGTAGCACACGCCTGTAATCCCAGCACTCGGGAGGCTGAGGCAGGAGGATCATTCCAAGTTCTAGCGTGAGTTACAAAGTGAGCTCAAGGCCAGCCTGAACTGTATAGCAAGACCCTGTCTCGTAAAGACAAAAATAAAATAAAATAAAATAAAATGTAAAAGTCTGCAGGACACTCACGTCTCTGATGAAGTACTCCAGGGTGGCGTAGGCGATGGCGATCCCGTCGTGCGTGCTCGTCCCTCTGCCCAGCTCGTCCAGGATCACCAGGGAGCGCGGGGTCGCCTTCCGGATGATTTCTGCAGTGTCCGTCAGTTCTTCCATAAAGGTGCTCCGTCCTTGGTAGATATTGTCCGCAGCACCCATCCTACATGAAAGGAAGCACACCTTCACCTTCCGCTGACCCTTCTGCAACCAGGAAGCCAATGCTTACTTCAAGGGCAGTGAATACAAAAGATCACTACTGACATACGCAGTTGTTCTACACACCCAAGCCAACGACTGCTGAACTGATAATGAATAAATGAAGGCACATGGTGGCTGTAAAGCGCACCCAAGTCCAAGTCATCCCCGCAGAAACAATGCCAGTGGAGTTCCAACAGAGCTACTGCACAGAGGTCTAGAAAAGCTGGGGACTTTCTCTGCCTTTTTCTGGCCAATGATTCCAAACCAGTCTTAGGACTCATGGGACAAAACAACGCTTTTCCATGCTGCTATTCTGAAAACTCCGTGAGCAGCAGGACCTTGTAAAATTAAGGGTCTCTTTCCAGTGTTTTCTTAACAAAACTCCATATTGTTATCACAAGTGAAAGAACCATATGCAAAATAACTTCCCGTATATGACACTTTTAACTAACGCTAGGCGGTCAGTAATCGTGGACAGCAGCTAACAGAGGCTCCCAGTGTGAGCACAGTTCTGAGAGAGGCCTGGAAACGGCCCCCAGGCCCCGCGGCTCCTTCCCAGCAGGACTTCTTGTCCCTTGCTGTTAGGCCACACCGTGCATTCCTTCGAGAATGTCTGAGACACGGCATGTCCTAACTCCCTGAAGTTTCTCCTGGAGCACCAGGGGCCGTGATTTACAGAACCAGTATGGGAAACTCCTATTTAGCACAGGAAGGACTCTGAAAATAAAATTAGGTAACACTCACTACGGTCATGCAGGTGACTGCAAAACCTACAGCGCAGGGTGTGACCCACTCGCTGGCTTCATGAGGGTGCTGGTGACTACGTTTCCCGCCAAAGCCCCTCACCGCTTCCTCCCGCCTCAACAGTTCACACAGCAGAGCACGTGTCCCACAGCACCATAAGGGGCCTCTCGTGTCCGGCGCCGCTCACAGAGGAGCGGAGTCTGGACGGGCTGTGTGGCCGGAAACGGCGAAGGGACCACAGCGGGGGACTGTTCCAGCAGCGTGGCACTCAGTTACCGAGAAGCGCCGTCAAGTTCATCTACTGTAAAATCAATAAACACAAAACAGTATCTCGGTGCTGCTGGCTGAGCATGCTAACGCCTTTTCTAACTTCAAATGCTGCGGCTGGCTCCATTTTTCAGTGTTAAGCGCTATTTCTCCCCATTACAAAACAAGCAGCTCTCCCATCTCTGAAGCTGCTCTTCTTCGGAATCCTGTTTGATTCCTGTTTACCGCCGTTTGTCTTGACTCCTGGCAGGCTGGGAGTGGACACAAACAGTAAAGAAAACTGGCTGGTAATAAAATACTCTGATGAGACCAATATTCCGGAGGCTTTTAATTCCCCAAAATTAGGACTACAAGCAAGGACTGGATGAGATTTAATACGGAAGTTTCTGTATTTACTGCCCTGTGTTCTAGAAACAGTGAAGAAATGGAGTGGTGCAGTTAGGAAATCTCCAGAATTCCTGGAGTTACCGGGGTGTTATTTTAGGCAGTGACAGACACACATGTACACATGCACGTACATACTGTGTGGCATATGGCAATGTTGAAATATCAATTGGGAAGATGAAAGCTCACTCAATTTAAAAAGAGACTAGCTGGTTTGTTACTTCAGAAAAAAACAAAGACACGTCCCTACTCAAATTATGTTCCAAAACCATTATACTGATTTAAAAGTATAATGTAAGAATAGTAATCATACACACACCAAGCTGGTTAGATGAGATTTAACCTCTGGACAGGTGAACACGTGGCTTGATGTACATGACAGCAACGCATGTGTTTGGCAAAAAAACACATCGTGCCAAAGTTACAGGCAAGCTACAAACTGGGAAGAAATTTGCAACACGTATGACAAAGGGTTTATATTTTCAAAACAAAGTCCTATAAAGCAAAATCAGTGATGATCATCTACCAGGAAACAGGAAAAGAAATACAGAGTTAAAATCTGTGAAGATGTGCACCTTAACATCCAAACAGCAGAGACTGCATGTGTCAGTCAGCAAATACTAACACAGTCACGACAGGGCCATGGCTGTCTTGCACAACTGTCCTGTGTGCATACTGTACAACCAGCGGTGCTGGCCACCCAAGGGGAGGGTCACACATGTACCCCCTGTAGTTCAAGCCAGCTGCAATGCGTTGAGTGATATTATTCACTGCTATCAGAAATGTGGGGAGAAAGGATATTTTTATGTGAGATTGAGACTTGCTACAATCTTCCAAAAGACAATTTAGCATTAGCTATTAATGCCTTTTGTGCCCCATCAATTTCACTCTAGGAATCACATGGTGAAAACTACCAGTGATATATGAAAACACTGTATATGCAAATATGTTCTTCATAACATGTTATTCAACGACAAGCTGAAAAAGTTAAATAAATACCCAAGCATAAGAGAAAGGGTAACTAATACTACGATGAAAAATTATACAAGCGACACAACAGGTATGGCAGAACTTCTGACTTCAGGACTGGTCAAAACACGCTGTGCACGACCACCTGGCCCACCAGAAAGCCCTCAGACAGGTGTGCCGCAGGCTCAGGAAGCCCACACCAGCGACCACAAAGATAGGAGTGGCACCTGCTCAGACACAGGTTTACCCAGGACCAACGCAACAGCTGAGCAGCTGAGTGCAAACGACAGCAAGAGAAAAGCACTGAGCCCACCAGCTACCAGAGAGCAGGCAGGCGAAACACAATCACAGAACAGAACGGAAACACAACCTCCACTGGTACCCTTCGTGAGATCTGGGACCTCACAGACTTAAAACAAGAACAGTCCATCAGAAACAAAGCCAAACGGCTGGAGAACAAAATCTCCAGGCAGTTGGACAGAATGCACTGTCCAGGAGGAAGTGACACTTGGTGCTGGGCGCACTCCGTGAGGACAGAGAGCAGGAGGGGGAGGAGGGGAAAGCGCCCACACAAAGACCCTGACATGCGGAGCTGACCGCAGGGCTGCTGCCCACCGACAGGAGGTGGAGAAGCGGGAGAGGTGGAGGCCAGAGGGTGAGCAGGCACGTTCCCTCCACTGGAACGCGGCTTCATCTGCAAGCAGGAGGGCTCCACAAAATGCGAGGAAGATTTGCAGGCAAAGACTGAAGTCGAAACATTCTGGTGGAATTGTATAACAGGATTAAAAATAATCCTAAACATTCCAGGGAAAGGAAGAACCCCTCATCATTAACGAGAGGAGGAACCAGACTGCTATCAGACCTCTCACCTGCAAGAGGGTGACAGGAGGGAAAGCAGAGACGATGTCTTTCCAGGGTGGATGTTTCTATTTATCTAAACTTTCAGAACAGATATGCAGACAAAATAAAGCTGTCTCAGACTTTCTACACTCAGAAAAGATTTGCTCCCATGAACCCTACACTTAAAAAGTACTCAGACAAACCGAAAGAAGAAAACAGTATTTAGGAAGAATGTGGAACATAAAGAATAGCAGCAACTGAGCAGAAGGGAAATTGGAGGAGTGTTAACTTGGCAGGCTTTGAAGATTCCCCTTCCCAACAATGTTTTACATCTTAGAGTGTGACATTCTCTCTCTCTCTGTGAAATTCTGAAGTGAATGTGCCTGTATCATAGTCCCAATAATGTGACAGTAAATTGGGTCCTCCCGTCAAAAAACCAGCCTACGAAAGAGCACAAGAGATCATGCTGGCGGCATAAATGTCAGAGACCTTTGCAAGGTGAAAACAGTTTTTAAAAATTGGAAGGAAGGAGAAAGGAGGGCCACAGATCGAAAAATGATTTCATATTCTGAGCAAAAAGTCAACAGACACTGTCCAGAGCTGATGAATGTCCAGTGAGCATGGAGCCCTTGCACAGAATTGTAAGTCAGCGCTTGCGGCCACCAGAAGAGCGACCCGGCTCCCCTGGGGCAAGGTAAGACATTTCAGAGGTCCAGCCACTGTCCCACGGGGCTCCTCGCGGCCAAGACACGTCACATGCTCAGGCTTCTGGTCCTGGCCTCGGCTGTGCCTGTGGGAGCGGATTATTGATGAAGGGATTTCTGCTACCTCCCTCCCCATCTACAGCTTATTTCCTCTCGTTTGGGTGCTAGACAACAACTGAGCAGCACCTTACAATAACAAGCAGAATCCTGGTGTCATCGTATGTTTCTCTCCTTATTTATGTTTGATCCAACATCTCTGAATAACCATCTGTTATGGCTTGTGTCTGCATGTTCCCCAAATCCTCATGCAGTCACGGGGCGGGCTTCTAGATTTTTGATTGATCCATGGTCCAATGCTGGGATTATGGGTGTGAGTGCTATACCTGCCCCTGGGGCGGATGGTTTGCCTGCAGTATAAGGGAGGGAAAGAGGCTTGCTCCCCGCTCTGCCTGCTGCTCCTCCCTTTTTACTCTTGCTGCTTTTGCTATCTTCCACCGCCATGAGTGGTTGCCCTCTGCCATGTGCCACTCTACCTTGAAGCCAGCCAAGTATGGACTGAAACCTCCACAAACTGTGAGATAAATAAAGCTTTCCTTCCTTAATTTTGGGCATCAGGTATTTTGTCTCAGCAATGAGAGAAAAGTAAGACACCATCCTCTCTCACTGTCTTCTATATTCTATATATCACATTAAACAGACTAAAGTAAGCTTCTGAAGCAAGGCAGGATATAAAATAATTAACAACTAAGAGGTTTAAATTTTGTATGAAGTCAATAATCACAAGGAACATTACAGACAACGTTCCTGAAATTTTCCAAATGTTAAAATATGTTAAGAGATTTAAGGCATTCTGAGTACGTGTAATTATCTTTGTGTCTGTATATATTGAAGTGTAGTAAATAGTGGAAAACACGTCCTTTGGGTTTTATCTTAGGGTGAGTTTGCCCTGCGTAGACAGAAGGTTACAGTTATGTGATTAAGGAAAAAAATCACTCTGATATTTTTAGGAGTGGCAGCCGACTAATCTTTCTAATCCCCCTACTCCCTCCTCAGC